CTTAACCGAACTGCCGCAAGTTCAAAGTTAAACAGGCTGAAAATAAACATATTGATAGACTCCTCTCACCTCCAATAACGGTGATACGCTCTATTTCGTTCTTCTCCGAAGCTTTATAGAATATTGTGACTTATCAGAATAAGATGAAATCTACAAGATAGAGTAAGAATTTAAAAATTCTCCAATGCAGACAAACAACAACGGTCTATTATTTTCCTCTTTTTGCGCCTTTTGTAGTTGTTAATTCACCTTCGAAAATGAATATTTATTAGGAAGAAGTTAATACTAGGTTTTTTTTTTTTTGTGCCTGGAATGACACAAGCTGTTTGCATAACAACGTGTTTTAGACCAATATCGAAACTAGACGAAGTATTTGCCTTCGAAATATTGTGCTAATTAAGAATCTCTTTAGTTAGACAAAGCTGGCACCTGCCTAACATTTGTTAACATTCAAATTTGAAGGAAAGCGAAAGGTTTATATTTTGGGACACTCACTATCATATTTTTTACCATGAATTTAGAATCATTTATTTATAGCGATGCAGTTCAAGTATTCTCTTCGACCGATCATTAGTATTCTCTATATCTTCCTTGGAATTATTCTCCCATCATGCTTCTGTTGCACCGGTGAGTATAAATCCCTTTTTCAAATTTCTTTCGTTCTTTCAGCAGACAATCCGCGTTATCTAACTCAAAATGTCTTTTATTATAGAATAAAAGATACAAAAAAGTCAAATTAAAAAAGACCTCACCACATGCACATCAATGGCTCAAAATGATGAATTAAAACAAACGATTCAAAGATATCGTGGTGTGGTAACGAACGCTATGAAAATATTCTTGATATTTTTTTAATATTTTCTTTCCGCTCATGAATTCACAATCAAAGATTAATTTTTGGTAATGAAAGCCTCCCATGTCAGTTACGTTGAATATCAAGAGATGAGAATCAATTTTAGGGAAAACTCGTTAGGGTTCTCATGCAGTAAAGTTTCGAAATAAAGTGTTTTACTGCGCCTTTTTCATCAGTGAAAATGAGAAATGAATCATCTCGAGTGAGTGGAAAATAACTGATATATTTGTTTTGCCTACCACAGACGACGATTGTCGACAAATCAAATTCAAGGACCCAATACCGAACATGGCCATGAAAAATCACGCGATCAAAAGTGTAGAGGTGCCAAACGAAGGGAGCTGCAGAGTAATGTGTTATATGGAGCCTAATTGTGTGTCCATCAATGTTGGACCTGTTGCAGGAGGAAGCCAAAAATGCGATTTGAATAACGCCACGGAGGAAAAGCATGCTCCATTTCTTCTCGTGAACAGTCCGGGTTACGCATATCTTGCCATCGAGGTAACATTTCACATTCTTACAAAACTAAGATGGTAAAGGGGATTGTTTCATTTTCTTAGGCTAAAGTGATCTTATTCTTGACATAAGGAAGATCTGCACAAAAGTTTATTTTGTTTTTTTAACAGAATCCATGCAGCAGCAGCCCATGCTTAAACAGAGGCACCTGTCAAGCTGGATTCACCTATAAAGGTTTTCGTTGTGTCTGTCGGGAACGATTCAGTGGACAAACCTGCCAAGTTGAAGGTGAAATAACTGAATTGTGTGGGCCAGTCTCTCGTAGTACGCGAGGAGTTACTCACTCAAGTCCCACTCAAGTTTTTTGTTTGTTTTTTACTGATTTTCAGTCAAAAGAAACTGCGCAGAAATCCACAAGTCCGCAGGTAAATCAACTGACGGTGTGTACACCATTAAACTTGATAATTTGCCTGCCTTTGATGTATTCTGTGACCAAACAACAGCCGGTGGTGGTTGGACAGTGTTCCAGAAAAGACTGAACGGCTCGGTTGATTTCTACCGCTATTGGAACGACTATAAACATGGCTTTGGTGACCTGAAAAGTGAATTTTGGTTGGGACTGAACAAGATTCACCGGCTGACCTCAGATAATAACAGCATGCTGCGTGTGGACTTGGAGGACTTTGAAGGAAACATAGCTTATGCCGAGTATAACTTGTTTGGTGTTATGAGTGAGAAACACAAGTACAAGCTGATCCTTGGTTCTTATTCAGGTAGAACTATCCTTTCGTCGCTTCTATTCTAGTCATTCTTAGAGGTAAGGGAGGGGGGGGGGGG